CCGCTTGTGCTGGGCCTGGGCCTGGCGCTGGCCTGCCTTGGCCTCCTGCTAGCCGTGGTCAGCCTGGGGAGCCGGGCATCGCTGTCTGCCCAGGTGAGGCCTCGCAGAGCACCCCTCCCTGGGCACATGAGAAGTGAAGACTGCAGAGAAGCGGATGGGAGCCGGGTGGGCAGAGGGCCAGGGAACCGGAGGATGGGTGGAGGGCAAGATGTCAGGTGAAGGACAGGATGACACTGCCTCCTTCACAGCAGGAGCCTTCCCAGGGGGAGCTGGTGGCAGAGGAGGACCAGGAGCCAAGGGTGAGTAGGTTGGGCACTGTGCGCTGGCTGCTAGACAAGTGAAGGGAGCTGAGGCTGCAGTGTGTGCTAGCTCTGCCAGCTGTGTGAGGTGTGTGCCATGTGTGCATGAAGATCCTCATGCATGAATGTGTTCCTGTGCGTGTGTGCATGACACCACGTGTGTGAGGGGTTTGGTTTGTACCACCTGAGTACCAAGTGTTTATTGGTTGTGGTGAGGCAGGGCTACGAGAAATACAGGCCTCTGTGGGAGATGGATGCTGTTGTATGCAGTGTGCACCCTATGCATGCTGAGTGTGGGCATGTGTGCAGTGCGCCTGTGGGCACAGAGATGGGGGCTGGAAAGTGCAGCTGGTCTCTAGAAAGGGATAACAGACCTCACCCCAGGGCTTGATCTCTCTCTAAGACTTTCCAGCTCTTGCTGGCTGGTGCTCTTCTGACCAGCTCTGCTGGGCTCAAGCTTAGTTTTTGGGAAGCCCTGGTTTAGCTCTGCCTTTAATTCCCCTAGGAACTGAATCCCCAGACAGAGGAGAGCCAGGATGTTGTGCCTTTCCTGAAACAACTAGTCCGGCCTCGCAGAAGTGGTGAGCTTCCCTCTGTCTCAGTTCAGAAATGACAAGAGTGGCCAGTCTATGGTAGCTTCTGGGTTAATTATTGCTTTTGTGCATCTGCGTGCAACGTGGACAGAGCAAAGACTGCTATCATCATAGAGAAACTGAGGCACAAAGTATGAAGGGAGGTGCAGAGCTGTGCAGCTAAATAGTTGAGATCGGACTTTAGGAATTAAAACCCTTGCCCTGAAGCTTCTTTTGTCACATGGACCTGCTTCTTGAATATCCCTTCCCAGATATGAAGGGGAAATGACCAGGAGTTAGGAGGACCCTTGGAGTGCTGATGAGGACAGGTCAGAAGCCTGGGTCTCAATAAGCAAAGATACTTATGAATGGGCTGGCTACGTGGTCATGCATCACAGTGGGCATGGGCAGGACTGTGTTGGTCTATACCTATTATCTCTGTGTGATGTTTTTCCCCTGGTGCTGGGGATGGAACCCAGGGTCTTGTGTATGCCAGGCAAGAGCTCTACCACTGAGCTATACCAGAAGCCTGGTGTGATTATTAATAGCACTCCCTTTACTCTCAGAAGTATCCTGATTTGGATACTTCTTTGGGTGATAAATTTATATAGCCACTCCACTTACGAAGAAGAAGAGGGCTGAGGTTACAAGGCCAGTTCTGAGTCTGGACAAGACTAAGGGTGCCATAACCCAAGAGGGGAGTGGGACTGGGGAGTGGTTCCACCATGGGAGTCTGCTCTGCCATTTCTCTTTCATTGATTTTCAGCACCTAAAGGCCGGAAAATACGGCCTCGCAGAGCAATTGCTGCTCACTATGAAGGTAGGCAATGGGTGAGCCATGCTCAGGAGGTGGGGTGGTAGAGGGGCAGGACAGGTCTCATCAACTCTCCTATATCTTACAGTTTACCCACAACCAGGACAGGATGGAGCGCAGGCAGGTGAGACCCCACCCCCACCTCTGAGCTCCCTTCTGATCCTCTGCAGCTCTCATGGAAAAGGGGCCCCTCAACCCCTTTGGTTTCTTCACTGTCTCCCTGCTTCAGCCTAGGATCCCCAGAATCCAACGCATGAAAGTTCTGGTTCTCTGTGGCCCAGGCATGGGACCCTAGGATGACTCCCATCTTCTCCAGATCTCAGGAGAGATCTCTCACAAAATCAGTGGCTCCTGCTTTTACTTTCAGTACTCAGTCTTTTCCAAGAAGCACCTGTGATCCTTTTGTTTTGTTTTGTGAGATGGGTCTCACTATGTAGACCAGGCTGGCCTCAAACTCAACAAACTTCCTGCCTTTGCCTCCTAAGTGCACCATGATGCCTGGCTTCTTTCCTTTGCTTTCACTTCTGTATTGTTTGGATTTTCATGCCCTGGTCATTGTTCTTCCAAACATTTCTAGTTTCTGCTCATTTTTTTCCACTGCTCCCTCACCACCATGACTTCAGAACCTCAAACCCAGCTCTGGCCTCTTCCCCATTGCTCATTCTTCCTGTCCCTCCACTCTGTCCCACCTATGCTGCCATGATCCCCTGAAGCTCCAGGTCATTGTCCCATTGCTTTTCTGTGTGGCTTCCAGCCTCTTTGTGGTTTGGCGTCAATCTCACTTCCCAGAACACCCTTACACCTTCTCCATGCTTGAGGGGCTGACGACCTTGTGCCCCTCCTTTGGACTTTGCACATATTGTTCCCTCACTCGGAACTTCTTTCTCCTGTAAATGCCATGAGGCAGGACATGGAGATGGCTTAGTACAGGGTGTCAGCAGCAGAGATGGAGAGAAGTAGATGGATTCAGCATGTAGCTTGAACATACAGGGATTGCTTATAGGTTGGATGTGAAGAATAAAAGAAAAGGAGAAATCACAAATGACATCAAGGATTTTATTGATGGTGGTGTTTTGTTTTGTTTTTGTGAGGCAAGGTCTCACTATGTAGTTCAGCCTGGCCTTGAACTCACTTTGCAGCCCAAAGTAGCCTTGAACTCACAGTGATCCTCTGCTTCAACCTCCCAAGTGCTAAGATTACAGAAATGTGCCACCACAACCAACTTGTTTGTTTTTTGAGACAGGCTCTCATTATGTTGCCCAGGTTGGTCTTTTTTGTTTGTTTGTTTGTTTTTTGTTTTTTTGTACCGAGGATCACACTCAGGACTGCACTTGTGAGGCAGGCAATAGAACTACTGAGCTATATCCCAGGCTTATTGGTACATTTTAGGCATACAATATGATGACATTCATCATTGGAAATGTGTACCTTTACATAATCTATCTTGGTTAGGTTGGTCTTGAACTGCTAGGCTCAGGAAATCTTCCTGACTCAGCCTCTTGTTTTGTTGTTGTTGTTGTTTGTTTTGGGGGCAGTACGGGGGATAGAACTCAGGACCTTGTGCTTGTGAGGCAAGCAGAGGCACCAATGAGCTAAATCTTCAGCCCTCAGCCTCTTGAATAGCTGGTATTGCAGATACATGCCCCCATACCTAGTTTGGTTTTTTTTTTGTGTGTGTGTGTTTTGTTTTGTTTTGTTTCGGGGCAGGGTCTCCCTTTGTATTTCGGGATGGCCCTGAACTATGTAGCCCAGGCTGGCCTGGAACTCCTCTGGATCCTTCTGCCTCCACCTTCCCAGTGCTAGGATTACAGGCATGCACCACCATGCCTGCCCATAGTGTTTTACTTTTAGATTTTTAACAGGGAAAACTCTGGGAATTACAGTGTCATTTTCTAAGATGGGGTTGACCAGTGAAGAAACAGGTTGGGAAATGTAAATGAATAACTTTGAGATGTCTCATAATAAACAAGTGGGCACATGGTGGTAAAATGAATTTCACAAATAGAAGGCTGGGTGTAGTAGATCGACTTAAGCTTTATGAGGACATACAAAGTCAGAAGTTATGGCCATGTACAATGGTATTTAAAGTTACAGGGTTGGGTAAGACACCAGGAGAACGAGGGGCCCCAGAACAAAGCCCCAAAGCTCTGGGCCATCTGGAAGTGGGGAAGAGAAGGAAAGCTGGCCAAGGAGACCGAGAAGCAGTGGGGGTGGGGAGACAGGGAGGGGGAGAAACACAGAGAGAGAGGGAGCACAGAAGCTGGGGGAGGGTGGTGTCCTGGAATTTAAGAGAAGACACTGATTCAAGAAGGATGTGGCTGTCCATGTGGAAGCAGCAGAAGGGGTCACATGAGATGAGAACACAAAAAATGACTGCTGCTTTGTAACATAAAAGTCAACTGGTGACCTTGACAAGGGTGGTTTCAGTGGTGAAGTTAGGCAGGAGGCCACTGTGGATTGAGTTGAGAAAAAAATGAAAAATAAGGAACTGGAGACAGTGACAACCCTTTTTAGGAGTTTCTCTATGATAAGGGCCAGAGAATGGGCCCATAGGTGGAGGGGAAAGTAGATCAAGGAAACAGTTTAGTCCCTCTAGCACGATGTACATATTTACTTTAGCTAGCATTTACTTAGTGCTTTTAGGGTAGGTGCTATGTCTCACACACACTTTTTAAATCTTATCTAACCCTCACAATAGCCCTACAGGAAGATATTCTGGTTGGCTCCATGTCACAAATGGAGCTCACACAGCTTGCCTGTCATAAAGCACCTATGCAGTGGTGGGCATGTTTTGAAGCCAGCTAGTGTGACGTGTGTCCTAGAAACAGTGAGAGGCGTGCTTGCTGGGCCAAAGGAGAGCAGACCTGCAGGGACATGTCCAAGAAGGTGGAGGGACAGGATAACGGGGTTAAAGGAGCACAGGTGGGTTTGTAGAGTTGGTGGGAGGAGGTAAGGGAGCCTTTTCCTGAGCACTTCTAGTTCTTCTGTGGAACTAGGGAGATGGTACAAAATCCTTCTCTTGGTGAAGATGAAAGCTATCTTGGTAGGGACAGGTAAGTAAGTGGCCAGGCAGCATGAAATGTCCACTTAAGGTTCATGGTGGTGTGACAAGTGAACCCAGGCACTGTTCATAGTCCCAGACACACTGTGCCTTTTGGTCACAGGCTGCTTTTGCCCAAGCTGATTTCCCAGCTAGGATGCCCTCCCTTCCCAATCCCCAGGCTATTCTGTAGAGACCTCTTATTTTGAAAGTTACCCAGGCATCCATTCACTTGAGGACCTGCTGTTTGCTAGTGATCCAGCTGGGTGCCCACAGCAAGTCACACCCACACCTGTGCTCGAGGAATTACCAATCTATGACAAAAGACAGTATATAAATGTGTAGTTACTTTACGGTACCAGTACTGCATGACATGAACAATTATGAAAGGAGCCAAAGATCCATGGCAGAACAGAGGGAAGACAGACAACCTTACAGTGGACTAAGGGATCCTTGCTATGACAACACAGGGCCTCGAAGCCTGAGTGTAAGAGGGACAAAGGGTCAAAACTGCTACAGGTGAAGGAACCATGGTATGAAAACCCTGAATTTGCCAAGAGCCTAATGAAGCCAAGCGCTGTGAGAAGTACAGTGCAGCTGAAGCAGAAAGTGCCAGAGGGAGAGGGTGGGGTAGGAGAAGATGAAATACAGAAGCCAGATCACAGATGGAGCCTAGAAGGCATTCTTTTGTTTTTCTTTTTTTTGGTACTGGGAATCGAACTCAGGTCTTTGTGCTTGCAAGGGAGGTAGTGGTACCACTGAGCTAAATCCCCGGGCCTTTTTTAAAAAAATGATTTTATTTTATTATTGGGGTTTTTTTGTTTTTGTTTTTTGTTGTGTTTTTTCTTTTTTTTTGTACCGGGGATTGAACTTGGATCCTTGTGCTTACAAGGCAGGCGGTGGGACCACTGAGCTAAATCCCCAGCCCTAGAAGGCATTCTTAGTTAAACCACTGAAAAGTAATTCAAGGAGAGGCAGGCTCATGCCAGCAGTTCAGGGGCATCACTCTGTAGCTTTGTAAAAGAAGCAGACTGGTGGGACAGAGCTATTTGGGAGGCAGACATGGTAAGGACTGGTGCTCAGTGACTAAAGTGGGTAGAGGAGAGGGAGGCTTGGGTACACAGTCAGGTGGAACCATGACCCAAAATGCAGGATACAGACAGTGAAACAAGTGTGGAGTGAATGGAGTCAGCTCAGTTTGAGTCAAGATGAACCGGAGGAGCCCATTGCCATTCAAATGGCAGGAGTTAACAGGATGCAGAAATACTGGGTCAGGACTCACAGGGGATAAGTTGTGATAACTCACAGGTAGGAATAAAACTATCCAGCAAAAGTTCCTTTTTTGTAGTACTGGGGACTGGGGAGTAAACTTAGAGAATGCTGAGCTATATCCCAAGTCCTTTTCATCTTAGGCAGGCTCTTGCTACATTGCCCTGGCTAGTCTCAAATTTGTGATCCTCCTACCTCAGCCTTCCACTGTGCTCAGATTGCAGGTGTGTGCTACCACACCCAGCTACCTAAGGGATGATGCTGAGGATCTGACCTAAAGTCTTGTGCATGATAGGAAGCACCCTACCATTGAGCTATACCTCCAACCCTGAGTTATGTGTAAGTCTGCGTGCGTGTGTGTGTGTGTGTGTGTGTGTGTGTGTGTGTGTGTGTGTTTTGCTGGAGACTGAACCCATGGAGTGCTGAGCTATATTCCAGATACAGTCTCGCTAAATTGCCCAGACTGGCCTCAAACATGCACGTTCCTGCCTCAGCCTCCTGAATACCAGGAATTTTACAGAGTGTATAATCAAGCCATTATGCCTGGCTTAAGAGTTACTTTTCTCTTGAAAAAAAGGCATTCCTTCAGTTTTCTCCCCACTGTGTACTGGGTGCCCACTCAGACCAGGCCCAGCTCCAAGTGCCAGGATTACAGTGGTGAAGAAGCCATCCCTGCCCTTATAAGGGAGTCAGACCCCAAATTAGCTCATGGGTGGATAAATGAGATAAATTCTTTTTGGGGAGTACAGGGGGGGAACACCGGGGATCAAACTCTGAACCTTGCACTTTCAGGGCAGGCCCAGCACCACTGAGCTAAAACCCCAGCCCTGAGGTAAATTCTTATAGGGAATAGGGAAAAGGGATGTTACTAGAACCCCTGCAGTAAGTCCTGGTCTCCTGTGACCTACAATAACAGAAGATGAAGTAAAGAATAAAGACAGGAAATGAGACTTAGAGAAGAATCTGGGTTCTGGGCCTGACCAGTGCTGCTTTGGAAAGCAAAGATGAAGGCACCCTGAGCTTGCCACTATTTATTGGGTTCATAGGGAGTAACAGGTGACTCAGAGGTGGGGATAATGATAATCCTAAATTGACAAGGATTTTATAATCAGAGGAAGTATCAGATGTGCTGGAGGGTAGCAGTAATCTATGACCATGAGGCTCTTTGCTGATGAGGATCTTAGGTCAATGAGAAGCTTATGTTGATGATGACAGTAAAAGGAGCAAAGTTTTTTTTTTTTTTACAACAATAGGTGGGATGAGTTGTGTTGATAAGGAATTTGTGCCTCCCCAGGTGAAACCTTTCTTACTACTTGGTTCTCAAGGAACCAGGATGTCTTCAACTGATGTAATCTTGCCCTTGAGTGTCACAGTATCACCTGGACCATTGAGGTCTGAGCTGTGATTGGAAGCCAAAATGGAGTTATGTTTCCATATGTCATAGCTGGTTTGTAGGCAAGACGACTAGGACTGGGTCAGGAATTTACCGCCTGCCTCTAAAGTGCAAGGACCTGAGTTCCATCCCCGGCACACACACACACACACACACACACACACACACACACACTCACACAAAGACTAGGCCTAATCATAATTCAACTGTGAGACAATTTTTTCCCAGAATTATGTAGAATGGCTCCCAACAAGTTCTTTTGCTGCTTACTGCTAGGAAAGAAATGGAGATGTGAAGGAGTTGATGTGGGAGGCAAGGCTAGGGCTGGCTGGCCGGGGGAGACAGAAAGTGCCAGAAAGGGAGAAATCCTGGAAAGAGCACCACAAATCCCTGAGGGGAAATGAAGGTGATGCTAGCAGGAATGGATAAAGCCAGGAGGGTAGAAGGGTGGGAGGGAGAGCCATGATAGGGGAGCCTTTAAATTTAGGCAGGTGGAGATTATAAAATGGGAGGACCTGGGAAAGCAGCGGAAAGTTCTATCACTGTTGCGTATTTTACAGTGTGCAATTACCCTAGCTCTAGGAGTTACTTTTTTGTTTTTGTAGTGCTAGGGATTGAACCTATGCAAGCCAAAGGCTCTACCTCTGAACTACATCTTTAAGTTTTTTTTTTTTTTGGTGTTTTGTGTGTGTGTGTGTGTGTGTGTGTGTGTGTGTGTATTGGTAATAGCTTTATTGAGATATATGTCATACCCTATACAATTCATCCAATTAAAAAGTACAACTCAGGCTGGGGATTTGGCTGAGTGGTTCACCTCCTGCCTTGCAAGTGCAAGGACCCAAGTTCGATCCCCTGTACCAAAAAAAAAAAAAAAAAAAACCGAAACTCAGAGCTGGTGTGGTGGTGCATGCTGTCTGTAAGTCTAGCACTCTGAGAGGCTGAGTCAGGAGGATCACAAATTCAAGCCCAGTCTGTGCTATTTAGTGACTTAGAGAGACCCTGTCTCCAAGTGAAAAAAAAAAAAAATAGCTTGGTGTGAGGGCCCTCAGTTCAATCTCCATTACCACACACACAAAAGTATAATTCAGCGGCTTTTAGTATATTCACAGAATTGTGTAAGCATCAATCACCACAGTGATTTTTCGACATTTTCTTCACTTCAAAAAGAAGCCCTGTACAGGACTGGGGATTTAGCTTAGTGGCACCACGCCTGCCTAGCAAGTGAAAGGTTCTGAGTTCAGTCCCAATAACAACAACAACAAAAAGAAGCCCTGTACCTGCTAGCCATCACCTCCTACTCCCATCATTCCCCAGCCGTTAAGCAACCAATAATCTCCTTCCTGACTGTAGATTTGCTTGTTCTGGACATTTGCTACAAGTGAGATCATACAATATGTGCTGTTTATGTGAATGACTTCTTAGCATAACATTTTAAAGATTCACTCATGTGCTACTTTATTCCTTTTTATGGCAGAATGATATTCCATTGTATGGATATTACTGCATTTGTTTATCCATTTATCAGCTGTTTGAAATTTGGGTGTTATTTTATTCTAATTTTAATGATTCAAGTAATGTACATATACATTCTCAACATAAAAGCAAACAATGTAAACATGATGGAATAAAAAGCCCCCATATTTCTCCTTCAATCCTACTCTTCTTGGAAATGACCAGTCATGACAATTTGTCCTGAATCTTTCTGCTGATGCATATTAGATTTCTTCACACAATGTCCTATTGCTCCATGAGCTCCATAGAGCACAGCTCCTCCCACATGCTGGGCAATCCATATCTTCTGTGCATAAGGTGGGTTCTAAATGTTTATAAACTCAAAGGATCCCTGGGGTGGTAAGGTAAAGGGGTTTTTTCCTTATCTCCTAACATCCACATTTAGGTGTGGATGGGACAGTGAGTGGCTGGGAAGAAGCCAAAATCAACAGCTCCAACCCTCTGCACTATGACCGTCAGACTGGGGAATTTAGAGTCACTAGGGCTGGGCTCTACTACCTGTACTGTCAGGTAAGCACTACCTGGCTCTGTGGGTAAGATCTTAACTGAGAAATGTTTGGTTTTGGGTGAAAGAAGGGTACAAGCTAAAGGCTGGGGAGGAAGGGTTTAGGGGTTGGGAGGGATGATGTGCCTGGTCTCTAAGGAAATCTGAAATCCAGGTGAGGACAAGCAGAGGCCTGGACTCTGCCGGTCCTCCCCTTACCCAGGTGCACTTTGATGAGGGGAAGGCTGTTTACCTGAAGCTGGACTTGCTGGTGGATGATGTGCTGGCCCTGCGCTGCCTGGAGGAGTTTTCGGCCACAGCAGCAAGTTCTCTTGGGCCCCAGCTTCATCTCTGTCAGGTGTCTGGGCTGTTGCCCTTGAGGGCAGGGTCTTCCCTGCGGATCCGCACCCTCCCCTGGGCCCATCTCAAAGCTGCCCCCTTCCTCACCTACTTTGGACTCTTCCAAGTTCACTGAAGGACCGGCCTCCCAGCAGATTTCCTAGGCTGCTGCCTCCCCACACCGCTCTCTAAACACCCGGTCCCCTTTACCCCACCCTAACCCATCCCAGGCTCCAGACCCCCGCCCCATAGACTGCCAGGGCTTGTTCACATGTTTTCCATTCCACATAAATATTCCCATTCCTCTTTTACACCCCACCCACCTCACTAGTTCCCAAGCCCTGATCTTTCCATGCCTCTTTATCCCTTGACTTTCCCCGGGCCACACCCCCCAGGATGTTGTGTTTACTGACCCTGTGGGCAAGGATGGGTCCACGAGACCTGGCTTCAGGCACTGAGAGGGGCTGGACCTGTTGGCTGGAAGCCAAAGAGCCTGGGACTAGGCCAGGAGTTTCCAAAAGTGAGGGGTAAGAGCCCAAGGCAAGCTCCCTCCTTGATAATTCCCTGTGGATTTTGAAAACAGATATTATTTTTATTATTATTGTGACAAAATGTTGATAAGTGGATATTAAAGAGAATAAGTCATAGTCTCTCTCTCTGTCTTTATTGGGGCTGAGGGTAGATCAAGGCTATGGGAAGTGAATCTGGGCACTAGGGAGCAGAGACCTGCATGCCTCCAACTGGCATTTGTGAGCAGAGAGCAGAAAGGTGCACTGCCCCGGAAAAACTGGTCCTCCGTTCAAGGTACTGCAGAGGTGGCCTCATTTCCCTAGGAGGCGAACTTCCTCCTGTGGGGGAATCCCTGGCTGGGAGGAGCAGGGGCCCTTTCTCTTGGAGACCTCAGGACATTCAGTAGGTGCTGGCTGGGAGATGGGGGTGGAAAGCTGCCCTGGAAGGAGAGCCCAGAATCAGTAGGCTGGATACCAGGACCGGGCATTTGGGGAATCTAGGCCCCTGGGTCCTGGGGAGGAATCCTGAAGTGGCTGGGGGCCTAGGGGCTGCTTCTTTGTCTTTGTCCAGAGCCTTATGTAAGAGCTCTTCTCGGGAAACAGGAAGTCCGGCTTGCCAAGCTTAGCACAGGGAGTAGTGCAAGCCTTATTCCAACACACCCGGGCCCGGCCTTAACCCCAGCACCTAGCCAGTTTCTTGTCTCTCTTTGCTCCCTGCCAACCCCTATCTCCCTTTTCTCATTTTCAGTCACCCCTAGCAAACTTTCACAGAGCTCTCTCCTGTGCCAGGCGCAGAGGGTCTTCCACACTCAGCCGCGAGCCTCAACACTGCCCAGCATATCCCCCATCCCTGCTCCTGGCACCATGCCCCATAGCCAGCCAACCTTCCCTCCCCCAACTCTGAGGCCACCCCCGCTTTCCTAAGCCCTGGCCGCTCCTCCTGGGTGTCACTGGCAGCCCTGTTCTTCCTAGAGAAACTGGCACCAAACTCTCCTGAGGCTGGGGGGCGAGTCTCAAGGTGACACTAGCCCCACAGCAGGGTACCAGAACACCAGTAGTACCCCCAGCTTGCTTTCCCCCTCCCTCCTTTTCTCAAGTTCCTTTTTATTTCTCCCTTGCGTAACACCTTCTGCACATTGCCTGCACCCCCACCCTCCCCAGCCACCTCCTTGCCACCCCATTCCTGAGGCCACAGCTGTTGGCAGGGTCCCTGGCTCATGCCAGTCTCATCTCCTGTCTTGCTAGCCCCTAAAGGGCCCCTGGACAACATGGGGGGCACAGTCCGAGAGTCGGCACTCTCAGTTGCTCTCTGGTTGAGTTGGGGGGCGGCTCTGGGGGCTGTGGCTTGTGCCATTGCTCTGCTGACCCAACAAACAGAGCTGCGAAGCCTAAGGAGGGAAGTGAGCCAGCTGCAGAAGAGCGGCGGGCCCTCTCAGAAAGGGGAAGGGTATCACTGGCAGAGCCTCCGAGAGCAGGTGAGTGAGGGGAAAGGGCAGTCTGGGGGAGAAAGATGGGTAGCAGTGGGATTTCTGGGCCTCTTGGTTCCAATTTCCCAGTCTACAAAGTTTCAAGTGGATGCAAAGAGGGTCCTGGGTATAGAAGTCAAGGGAGCAGCCATTCCAGGAAAGGAAAATGTTAAAGATTAACGTTTCTTTACCTAACAGATCTTGGAGGGCAGCCAGCACCAAGGCACAGAGTACAGGGAAAGGTGCATGAGAAATTTGAGGCATTCCGGGCACAGTGGAAAGCTGAGAAGGAAGGCCCTCTGGTACTTGCATCTCAGTCTAACGTTGACCCTCTTTCCATGAGCAGAGTCCTGATGTCCTAGAAGCCTGGGAGAATGGGGAGAGATGGAGGAGAAGGAGAGCAGTGCTCACCCAAAAACGGAAGAGTGAGCCCTTGGGCACATCAGGGGCGGGAGGTGATCGCTCAGCATTGGGACTGCGAGCCCAAGCCTGGATGAGGGTGGAGGGTGAATACCAGGGCCCTTGGGTAGGTGGACACTGCTGAAATTTACTCCTTCTCTTCCCAGAGAAGCGCTCAGTTCTGCATCTTGTTCCCATTAACGTTACTTCCAAGGGTGAGCACTGTTTTAAATAAAGGCTGTGTGTGCGGGGGCAGGGGGGAGGCAGGCACAAACCAGGACGTTGGGGATGGCACCTGGGCTCAAAAGAATCTTAGAGATGCAAAGGGGAGAGCTGGTGTGTGTCTGAGAGTGCAAAGAAATCCTGACAGATACACTCCTCACCTCCAGAGGATTCTGATGTGACAGAGGTGATGTGGCAGACCGCTCTCAGGCGTGGGAGAGGTCTGGAGGCCCAAGGATGCATTGTCAGAGTCTGGGAAGCTGGAGTTTATCTGCTGTATAGCCAGGTAACCCCAGACATACCCTAGCTTCCTATGCAGGCCTGGAGGCTGGCTCTTTATTCTTCTCTCAGAGCCTGTATGCCCCATACTGAGTGTTCCTGATCTCTCTGTACCAAACGTCTTCATTCCCTGGCTCCTGTATCAGGGCACCTAAGACCTCTCAGAACTGAGCCATGCCATTCTGGTTTTTTTTTTTTTCGGTATGTCCTCTCTTCCCTGCCAGGTCCTGTTTCAGGATGTGACTTTCACCATGGGTCAGGTGGTCTCTCGGAAAGGCCAGGGAAGGCAGGAGACACTATTTCGATGTATACGCAGCATGCCCTCTGACCCTGACAGGGCCTACAATAGCTGCTACAGTGCAGGTGAGAGCCATGTGGGCAGGGGAGTACTTACTGATCAGGGGTAGTGGTGTGGAGAACAAAGTAGGGGATTGGAATCCTGGGTGAGAGGCACACCTGAGGAATGAAGGACACAATACTTAGGTCCTTACAGGAAAGACAGGAAAGATGGAGCTAGAGAGGGCAGGGGGAAACATCAGTGTGGATGGCTGTGCTTCACTGAGCACCTGTTTTTTCTTTTCTCAGGTGTCTTCCATTTACACCAAGGGGATACTCTCAGTGTCATAATTCCCCGGGCAAAGGCGAAACTTAGTCTCTCTCCACATGGAACCTTTCTGGGGTTTGTGAAACTGTGACTGTTATAAAGGTTGTTTTGAGCCGGGAAGACCAGTGTGGGTACATACTGAAGAGACAAAAAAATAGGGAATGGGCAAGAAGAGAAACCTCTACTTGGGTTTGACCTCATGACTGTTCTCCCTTTTTCCTCTTCCACTCCCATATTGTAGACTGAGTTAATAGATATTAGAAGTAGAATATCTTGCTCTATCTCCCATCCAGCCCTAAACTGTTTTTGTGTGTGGGAGTTGGAAGGAGGGTGCCGGGCATTGTTCAGACCTATGGGTACACTGGAATGCATCCAGCACAGCACCACCATCTAGCGGCTATTTGAGGGAATCATCCTGCCTGCTGTCAAAAGTCCAGGAAGCCTCCTGCTAGGGAAAATCCCTCGTTCCCTAAGCCACGCCTCATTCCAGGTACCCTCTACTTTTTCACCTAACAATAAGCCGCAACCTCGCTTCTGTCTATTGGGGACCGCTTCCGTGACTATCTTCACAGACACATCTATTATGCGTCTGTCTGCATCGGGTGCCCGACGATGAAGATGGGGGGGCCCTTTGCAACCACATTATTCTTCGGGTCCTAAGTTTTGCCCTTCATGCTTTCCATTCTTGTGGCGTGGCAGGCCACCCCTCCGGGCTGGGACTGGTGCCCAGGGAGCTCTGGATATGTCGTAAGCTTCAGTCCTTTGAGCTCTTGTGCTCAAGCCAAGCTTAAAGTTAAATAAAAAAGAAAGAGCGATACTCCGACTCCGTTTCCCCTAGTAGTACCTCGACTCGGGCCAGTCCTTGTAACCGGACCTCCCTTCCCCTCCTGTCTCCGTTCCCGTGCACCCCGATGAACAAGCGCCTTGGTGACCCCAACCTCAAGACCACACGCGCACAAGGCCCCTGGGATACGCTGCAGGGCGAGAGGCGGGACGCGACACGCAGGCGCATACGAGCTACCGGTGGGGCTGCCACAGGCAGCTGGGTAGGCGGACGTGCGCAGGCGCAGCCTTGCGTGGCGCTCGGGGCCGGTAGGTCCCGTGGCAGCTACGTTCTCGGGGAGGCGGGGGTTGGGG